AAGATTGTCTGTCTGAAACTATTTCTTTGTGTTCTTATAAGCTGCTGCTTCTGTCATCAATGTCTTTTGCTAGTTTCTTTTTTAAATTGCCTTTGATTTTTTGAGGCATCAGAGTCTTTTCCAGTGGTTCTTGTCTTTGTGTTATGTGTCCAAAATATTTATGGTTTAGTTCATTATTACTGCTTCCATTGAGCAGTTAGACTTTACTTCATCTAGTATTGAATTATATATTCTTCTTCTAGTCCAAGGTATTCTGTATAGTTTTATCCTGCACAAAATTCAAAAATAGCCATTTTCCTTCCTTCAGCCTTTCTGATTGCCCAGTTTTCGTGGGCATGTGTTACAAGTAAAACACAGCCTTAACTATATATGCCTTTCTTATCAATGTGCTATCTCTGCACTTCAGCATTTTGTCTAGATCTGTCATCTCCCAAGCCTCTGTATTTCACGCCACAGTCATCGTCCCTGTGAGTTTTTGACACTAAGAAAATAAAGTCTGTTAGCTTTTCAACTTTTTCTCTATTTGTATTGGCATTGCCAGTTGACATAATCTCAATGCTTTTTTTTAATATCAAAGAGCAGACCAGCTTTTGCACTCTTTTCTTTCACCTTCAACAAAAGGGATGCCTTAATTCTTCCATTGATCCTACCATCAAAGTGGTACCATCAGCGTATCTGAGGTAGTTGATGTTTCTCCCCGCAATTGTAATCCTAATTTCTCTTATAGTCTAACCAGGGCTTTTTTTCTCATAGAACGCCCAGAATGGAGTTCCAGCACCTTTTTTGGTTGGAACCTTGTAGGCAAGGCAGGTTGTATGATGTGTGTGAGTTCCGGCACCTTTTTTTTTTTTTTTAGAAAAAAAGCACTGAGTCTAACACTTCTCATGATACGTTCTGCATACAAGTTAAAAAAATGAAATGACAATATATAACTTTGGCACAGTCTTTTTCCTTTTGTGAACCATTAAGTTGTTGCTCCATGATCCATTTTTTTGTTTATTGGTCATCATACATTTTCAATAAGCAAATGAGGTGACTTGGTATATCAGTATTTAAGGGCTAACTACAATCTGTGATAGTCTACACACGCGAGCCAAAATAGCCACAATTTTGGAATTCTCTAGTCTTTTCCATTATCCGTCACTTATTAGCAAGCTGATGTCTAGTGTCTCTGCCTCTTTTGAATCCAGTTTATAGATATGTTGGCTTTCATTCCATGTGTGGATGAAGTTTGGATTGTAAAATATTGAGAATTACTTTACTAGCATGTGAGATAATTTCAGTCACATGAACATAGATATTTATATTATGATATATTACATTGTGTAAAATAACATGTATTGAATTTATTCCAATGAACTCCATTTGAGCAGTGTACAATACTGTTACTGTATGTCTTGGTTTTAATAGATATAATCTAACTTTATGGCAACAACTGCATAATCTGCAGTAGAGGCTAAGCAATAAATCTAGTATCCACAGATTGAAAACCTGACTCTATTTTTCTATGACCAAACATTTATATTATCACTTCTCTGTCAAGTGTTTCTAGAATTTGGCACAAGTATAAAATCCATTATATTTTTGGCAAAGGACTTGGATAATTGCCAGCTGATCGGTATGGTAAACAATTTTAAACTTTGCATCCTTGGGGCATATGGTATGGCATAGTCAGAATAGCAGTTATACTATCAGCTTTAGTAATCTTTCAGATTCATTTGACTTATATAGCAATAACTGATCTGTGATTAGTTTACTGTACCAGATATAAAGCAGTACATAATTTTCTTCAACAGTACATTTGGAAGGAACGGTGCAAATAATATAATGGAGAAAAGAATGGAATTTTGCAAAAACATGAAATAATACTTAAAAGCAAATGAAAATGACTCCTAGAAGTTTCAAATTTTACACAATTAAAAGGAGATTCCATTTATATTATATTTTTCAATGGAGCTATATTTATTTGAATAGCTTATACTTACGTAATTTATGTTCCCATGTTTTATTAGAGTACCACAAGAAGTGTTACCTAAATTAGGCAACATCCAATTCCAACAATAATTCATCATGTTACGGGTAGTCCTTGACTTAGAACCATCCATTCAGCGACCATTCAAAATTATGACAGTGCTAAACAAAGAGACAACCTGTACCTGAAGTTATGGCTGCTGTAGCATCCTTGCAGCCAATGATCACAGAACAGAATACAATAGAACTGGAAGGGACCTTGGAGGTCTTCTACTCCAGCCCTCTGCTCAAGCAGGAGAACCTAGACTATCTCAGACAAGTGACTGTTTAGTCTTTTCTTAAAAACCTCCAGTGATGGAGCGCCCACGATTTCTGAGGCAAACTGTTTCACTGGTTAATTGTCCTCACCATCAGGAAGTTTCTCCTTAATTCCAGGTTGTTTCTCTCTTTGATCAGTTTCCAACCATTGTTTCTCATCCTTCCCTTTGGTGCTTTGGAGAATAACGTGACCCCCTCTTTTTTGTGGCAGCCCCTCAAATACTGGAATACTGCTATGTCTCCCCTATTTTTTCTTTTCTTTAGACTAGCCAAGCCCAAGTCCCGTAGCTGTTCTTCGTATGTTTTAGTCTCCAGGCCTTTGATCATCTTATTTGCTCTTCTCTGAATTTTTTTCCAAACTCTCAACTTTTTTTTTGTAGTATGGTGACCAAAATTGGCTGCAATATTCCAGGTGTGGCCTCACTAGGGTTTTATAAAGCGGTACTAATACTTCGCGTGATCTTAATTCTATGCCTCTGTTTATACAACCCAGGATTGTATTAGCTTTTTTGGCTGCTGCTGCACACTGCTGGCTCATAGTCAAGTGATCATCCACTAGGAGTCCAAGGTCCCTCTCACAGTTACTGTTTTTAAGCCAGGTCTCGCCCAATCTGTACTTGTACCTTTGATTTTTCCTGCCTAAATGTAAAACTTTACTTTTCTCCACATTAAAGTTCATTTTGTTGAATAGGGCCCATTGTTCAAGTTTGCCAAGATCTTTTTGGATCCTGAGTTTGTCTTCTGGGGTCTTGACTACTCCTGTCAGTTTGGTGTCATCTGCAAGTTTGATGAGTTCTTCTTCTATTCCCTCATCTAAGTCATTTATGAAGATATTGAAGAGTACTGAAAAGTTTCTTTTCTTTTTCCCTTCTCCCCCTCACATTTCTTTTCCTTTTTTCTCCCCACTGTGTCCTACTATTTGCTTTTGATTTTTTGTATTTTATTCTATAATCTAATAAAATGTTACAAACCATTAAAAAAAAGGAAAAAAGTACCGGTTTTACTCCTCCTTTTATATCCTCTCTTCTTCCCCCCTCCTCCTTTTATATCCTCTCCTCTTCTCTTCCTCCTCTTCCTTTTATATCTTCTCTCCCCCATTCTCCTCCTTCTATATCCTCTCTCTCCCCCTCCCCCTCCTTTTCTCTTCTGGGTGCGCTTGAAATGCCAATCACCTGGAGCTACATGCGCCAATCCTGGGCTCTCAGCAGAATCCCGGCAACACCGTAGCTCCAGCTGAATCTCTGCTGGAAGACTGTGTGCAACTGCCGGCCACCCCCAGGCCTCACGGCCGCTGCCGCTACTTCAACTCATCCACTTTTACACTTTTTTTACACTTTGTTTTACAGTGCTTTTCAACCCGTTGTACGTGTACCACCTGCCTTGTGCCAAAGTACCACCAATGGTATGCGTACCACGGGTTGAAAAGCCCTGCTCTAAGGGACAGGATCCTTCCTACCCCATAAGATGGTGGAAGGGCAAGATATCAGCAATCACAGAATTCAGCTGGATACAAGTAGCAGACAGAATTTGGAGACTTCTGAACAACAGAAGAACAGGAGAGGAGAGCCTCTTTTGTTCCAATTCCAATTAAGCAACAGCTTGCTTGGGAGTACTCTGCATATATCCCAAAGTAAACTGTCACTGTTTGAGGAGGGCGAATAGATCAAATGGATCGCACTCCAGACATTTTTCCATTTACTGTTTGCCTTATGCTGATTCATCCAGTAGCTATATACAACTTGTCGCTACATGTAGTCTAAGACATGGTTGTCCAACCTTTTGGCTTATTTGGGCTGCATTGAGTAAAGAGAAATTGTCTTGGACCACATGTAAAATATATAATAGTGTTAATGTATATAAATAATAAACTTACTTTATTTTTTAATTATCTTGTGGAGCCACACTCCCAGGTGTCTAAGACCGCATGCAGCCCTGGGCTACAGGTTGGATACGCCTGATCTAAGCAAAAGCATTCCAAAACCATTTCCCTCATAGATTACATTACTATCCAAATTGCATTTCATTTTTTCCTCAGATCTTATACCTCTGAAAAAAGTGTGTGGTTTCTGAAGGGATCTTGCAGTAGGTTAGTGATATTGGTTAGAAACAATGATGTGATATAGGAGCTTGAAACTGGTGTGTGTGTGTCTGTATGTGTGTGTGTCTGTGTGTGTGCGAGAAAGAGATTCTCCCAATATAAAATATGAGCTTACTTCTCTGTCTGAAATAACTGAACAATAGTTCCACAATACATCTATACATTAAATTTATTTATTTTATTAGATTTGGAAGCCACCTGATTCCCAAACAACTGGACCATTTAACATTCAAGGACAAGAAATAATGAAATAGAAAATAAGATTTGGAAAAAAAACATGCACAATTGTCAAAATAATCTTTAGTGGCTTAAGAATAACCCCATATTCAAATTATATATTAAATATGTAATAACATATGCATACTGTATTCATTATAAGTTAACAGGTGATAGTCACAGTATTCAGAAGAACTGAAATATCAAGCTTTGAATGCTTGTTGTAAAATGAAGGTCAGAGAAAAATAGGTTAAAAATGCTGTTCTAAATGGAAATTATCTTGACATATATGAATTATGTTGCCTGTTATTGTTTTCTAATCTGCTCTTTGAACTGTTAACATAAAGTATTTCTAACACTAATTGATATAGATTTGTTACATGTTTTATTCTTTCAGTCCTAGTGGGTCTTTATTGTCCTGTTTGGAGCAGGTTAAAACATACCTGTTGACTGATGGAACATGCAAGTGTGGTTTAGAATGTCCTCTCATCCTTCCTAAGGTAAAATTAGATATTTGAATTTGCTAAAAGAAAAACTAACATAAAATGTATTAGATTTTAAGTACCACTATCTCCCTATATATTATAAGAAGGTATTATCCTTCCTGGCTGAGGACGATAGATGTTGACGATGCAGATAAATGAAATAAGTGAAATAAAATTTAAATATTGGGATATTTTTGAATTGAACACAAACTAATATCATAAAACAGACATGTCAAACACAAGGCCTGGGGGCTGGATGCAGCCCGCGAAGTGGTTTCATGTGGCCCGCGAAGCCATCCTGGAAACAGTGAGGGAACGGGCCCCGCTGCCTTGGCCCTGGCCCAGGCCGGCCGGGAGCCAATGTACAATTTTGTGGTGGCCATCTATGCTGAAATGCATTCAGTCTTAGCTCCACAAGGCTGTCTGGAAACGGCGAGGAACCAGCCCCTGCCGTGTCAGCCCCACCCCCTGGGTGCATGCTGGGGAGGTGTCACCCTTTATGAGGAATGAAGTAATGCACCATCACCTGGAAGTGGCCAGCAAATGGCCCTCGCCTACTTCACATATCCGGCTTGATGGGCTCTGCCCTGGTCCCATCCCTTTCTGCCAGAGACTCTCAGATATGTCCCATTCCTGCCCAGGCCCCCACAGGCACCCTTGACGCAAATGATGTAGAGCTGACCACGCCCACCCAGTAGGCCACACCCACTCCACCCACACCCACCCAGTAGGCCGCACTCACCCGGCCCCCCCGAGGGCAACCGAAATGCTGATGCGGCCCTCAGTGAAATTGAGTTTGACACCCCTGTCATAAAAAGTAACATGATTGGCCAGTTAGAATAGTGTACAGAAGCATACCTTTGTCAGATCAGTTTTCTTAGTTGCGAAGTTCTACAGTATAGTGTTCCAAAGTTCCTTTAAAAATAAATAGCTGTACTCTTTTCCACATTTCGAAATATGGTTTGCAAGAAATACTAGATAAAGGAGAAAAGTGTTGATGATCCAAGATAGAAGAAACAAATCCTATAGTAAGGAATAATGTTTAAACTACACTTTTAAGTGAATCAATAAAATTTGCGGAGAACAAATGGTCCTGCGGTTATCATAATCTTCTGGATCAGAAGTAGGCAACAATTCCCTGTCTCTCCCACCCCCCTTTCATGAGCCAGAGTTTTCCTTGTTCCCCTGTCAGTGTTTTTGTTAGTATGTTGAGTGGTTGAGTTTTTTGGAGGGCAGAAGAATTAATGTAATGCTTTAAGCCAATCTTCTCCAATCTGAGCAACTTCCAGATGTAAGAACTTCGATTTTCAAAATTCTCAACAACCAAAGTTAGATGGGAATTCTGGAAATTGATATCCCCCCTATCTGGAGTGCTCAACTTGGTGGGGGAGAAACCACCATAAGCTTGTTCTGAGGCTTTAAAATATTGAAAGAATGCTTAAAACAGCAGAACATTCCACAGATTTGCCAGCACTAAGTCAAAAGGGTCTCTAAGGTCTATAATAAAGGGTTTGTGCATCATATATCAGTTATAGGTTGCCCTCCGTGTGCTCTAGAAGGACAACTCTTTTTTTAAAAAAAAAACTTAGCATATTTTATTTGATGGACCAGTTTTAGAAGGAATTAGAGAAAGTTTCTGGAGCTGTTGTATCTGTGATCTTAATTAGGACTACCATGTAACAGTATGATTCCAACATTATTTTAAGGTATTTAATTTTGATCCTGGAGTTGCTGTAACACAAAGAACAGCTGAAGATGTCAAAGCAGATGAAGATGTCACTAAGCTATGCATCCATAAACGGAAAATTATTGCTGTGGCTACACTTCATAAAAGCATGGAAGCACCACATCCCTCATTGGTTCTAACTAGTCCTGGAGGTGGAACAAGTGAGTTCTCTTTCTCATTACAGGGAACAAAGAGATCCAGTACTGATGTGCGTGTCGTTTATTATAAGTAAAGAGGAATTTTAAAAAACCCTATAAAGGTAGTTATTGATAACAAAATTGATGTTGCTTCTTTTTATATATGTATGGCCATCTATTTATGAGAGATATTTATCCAGAATTTGAACCATGTGAGCCTCTTGTTTTAAACCATTAGTTTTAAATTTCCTTCCTAATTCAACATATTACACATACCAGCTTTATGTGCAAAAGGTCTCTGGTTCACTCCCTAGAATTGCAGTTATAGAGCTAAGTTAGATAATAATTTTTGTAAGGCGAAAAAGAATGGTTTTTGTTAGAATGAGCACAAGCTACTGTATTCGATAAACAGGATTCATCTGAAAATTTTTTTAGATAAGTACAATCAGTGCAGCAGTCCCATACCTTGGCAAAATGCTACAATTCTGGGAAGTTACTATGCCTGGGATGAAGCTATGCTATCACTGTTCTATGAATATAGGTAATCCTTAACAATTATTCAGATTTACAATAGAGTTTAAAAAAAAGTTACCTAGAACTGTTCCTCATATTTACAACTGTAGTCACAGCAATCCCATTATCATGTGACCAAAATTTGGGCACTTGGCAACGGGTATGTATTTACAATGGTTGCAGCATCCTAGAGTCCTGTGAGCACTGTGCCCAGGGTCTTTCAAACAAGCAAAGTCAATTTGGGGACGCCGGAAGATGGCAAAGAAAAAAAGGTAATAAAAGATGGAACTTGTCTTAAGAGTTGCAGGCAGATGCTAGGTTTGCATCTCTGGCATTTCGAAGTATCCTTGCAGTATAATTCAAAGCATGCACAGGTCTAAAAATCAAGTCAATCTTTATTACAATCATAGACCAACATAAAACACAAGGAAGGAATATGGTCAGGAATAGATGGCACAGGAGCATAAAAGGTGTATACATATATAAAAAATGTGTAAAATATGTGAGCCTGAACATGAATATGTAAACTAGGAGTCCATAAGCTGCTAGGCTATAAAGTGTTCTGTGGTGGCAAACTGTAGGCACACTGAGGCTAAGCTATAAGGTTGGGTGCTAAGAATGACCTAGAACAGTGGTGGCGAACCTATGGCACGGGTGTCAGAGACGGCACTCAGAGCCCTCTCTGTGGGCACGCGCACCGTCGCCCCAATCCTAGGCTTTCAGCTGGGTTTTATAAAACCTTTTTAGGCCTCCGCCGCCGTGTGCAAAAAAAAAAAGTTTCAATCAGTCTATTTCAACTTCTCGCGGGGGAAAAAAAATCTTGCAAAGTTGGAATTGATTGATTGAACTTTTTAGTCCCACTGTTACCACCGCAGCCACACCTACCCAATGGGCCACACGCACCCGGCACTCTACGATGCATAACTGGGTTTTGGGTTGCAGTTTGGGCACTCGGTCTCTAAAAGGCTCCCCATCACTGACCTAGAAGTTACATCCAGCAGTGTCGAGTGCACTTCCACAGAACCTGGCAACACAATGTGTTCTGGCAGGATTAATATTTAAAAGGAGCAAAAGGTAACATAAAATTGTTCCATATACTTGGAATACTTATCTAAAAAAAAAGTAGGAAATTGGTGCGAATACCTCTGCATTACAAATGCTGTTGTTCCTACAAACCCAGAGTCATTGGGGGCATTGCCATGGCCATTCTGAGAAGGGGCTCTTCATTCCTCAGGCACAGCTGCATGGAGAGAGTATCCCTGCAGGGCTTTCTGTGCTTTGAGACTTCCAGCTATGACAAGTGTGGCATGGGAGAGCATAAAGAATTCGGGGGACCCAAGTCACACTGCTATGCTATGTCAAGAGGTAGACAATTTACAACCTTAAATGTTCATAGTGATGTAAAGGAAACCAATTTTAGGTGCTGGTGGGATCCATAGGGAGCCAGTTTTGAGTAGCTCAGCTCGTACCTGAGCAGAATTTTGCTCAGAGTGAAAAGTCATATGCATGGTTTCATATAGAAATGTAGGCCCACAGGTGTCATACCCATAGTATTGTGCTATTTTTTATTTTATATTGGATAGAGGAAGGTATTTGATGTTTCTAGCTGAATTGCACAATTAACTTTGGTTAGGC